TAGTGTGAACATTAATATGTTATTGTTCATAACAAGCTTATCAACTACCTGAATTGAGTATTTCTTGACTGGTGATTCTAGTTGTGTATTACACTGCCAAAGCCACTTCCCCCTCCCCCTCCAACAACAGATTTAAACATGATGTTGATTAATAGTTGACACTAATTGACATCACACCCCATCATCAATTAAATGGGTCGGCGAACCGTGATAGAGACTTTTGTATCTGTATGGTCAGTGGTCCGTAGTAGACACAGGGCACATGTGTTACAGTTTTGACCAACAAAAAAGGTTAAAGAAGATTTTTTTAAATAAATTTGCAAGAAGGATAATAAACATTACACTGTTTTAAGTAAAAATGAAATGAATAAATTTCCAAAATCATAGTAATATCTTGATTTTTCTTTTGACTGGGACATTTTACTAAGAACAAGAGGGCCTGTATCACTCACCTGAATATGTTTAAAATAATTGGTATTAAGTAAATATATAGCACTTCATGGTGGGTGCTTTAAGTACATATGAAATTTCAGAAAGATCCATCCAGTACTTGAGATATAGCGAGAACAAACTTCAAACAGGAAAATATTTCATTACTTAATTAAAGAAAAAGATCACATGCCTCAATGTTAAAAAGTAAACTGTGTTTCAGATTTGGCTACATCGGACATACACTCATATGGAAATACAATCTATTTTAACCCAAAAAACACCTGTAGCTGTTTTGAGGAACTTGATCAACCATGTTTTTCATTATTTTGAGTACTTACTCAAACAGCCAAAGGAGGACAACTTTCCCATCACACGATTTAATTTTGGACATTACATCACAGAATCAACAAATGTATTTAAAAGTTGGTCCTCAGCTGGGAAAGTGATAAAAGTTTTTTTTTCAAGTAATCACTTTCATAGATATAGTGAATATGGCTATATTTAAAATATTGTATTAACAATACCTAATATCTCAGCAGTTCAAAAGTTCATATTCAACTGGTTTGATATCTATTCCGTGCATATTCGCTACCAGAAATTATATTTACTCATTAACTTTAATAATTGCTGACTTGGAGAAATATGGGCAGTTTTCTGCCATAGCTATTTAAGTACATATCTTAGCTTGTCTTGTATTTGGTGGCTTGAAAAGTGTAATGTAAACGAAATGTTATGTATAAGTATTGCTATATTTGACTGTAAACGCTTACTATTTAGTATATCTGTATTGTACATCAAGTATGTAATGATTGTATCATGTGTTTATCCATAAATTAATTTTAAATTATGAACATAAAATTTGATAAACAGACAATTATGTGTTTATTATTTTATTTTACCAATTTCATACCCCCCCCCCCCCCCCCCCTAAAAAAAATGCCTTACATATCACATACACAGAAAGGCTATTAGTCAGACATGTAACTTTCACACAGGTAAGTTACCTGTGGGGTAAGTATGAAACAGACTATAATTGGTTTGCCATTGTCTTCCTATATCAACACTTTTCTTTGTTCTGTAACAGGAAATAAAAAAAGCATGGCCAGACCGGGGTTAGAACCCGGGACCTTCCGAACTCTAGACGGATGCTCTACCAATTGAGCTATCCGGTTGCCGACGATCGACCCAGTCCAGGTCTATTACATTCCTCCCTCCTTTAACAAAGTCTTTGACCCCGAAGACACACGAGACCCTATACCACCTCTTGTGGGTATATTTCGTTGGACACCAAATGTAACAGGAAAGGAAAAATGCACGGCCAGACCGGGGTTCGAACCTGGGACCTTCCGAACTGTAGACGGATGCTCTATCAATTGAGCTATCTGGTCATCGACAATCGACCCAGTCCAGTTCCGCTACAGTTCTCTTAAAAGTCGGGGAACTGAGAACACCCCCGTTGAAAGATATCACATCCCAGCACAAATTAAATGGGTCATCATATAAACCACAATAGAGACATTTGTACCTGTAAGGTCTGTGGTAACTGTACTAGCCACAGGGCATAGGTATTAAGGTATTAAAGTTAAAGAAGGTTTATTAAATACATTTGCAGGATGAACAATAAATATCACACTTAACATTTTACCAATACCAATCAGGAATCTTTGAGGGAAAGTTATATCACGTTAGCACATTAAAAAATATACAACGTTCAAATATGCTTTCATAGATGCGTTCTATTACTCTCTGGTACTACTTTATAATGTTTACGCCAAAATCATACACACATATATATATCACTGAAGTTATATATCAGTTACTCTACGGAAAGATGGTCTTGTCTTTTCCATGACCGTACCATTTCATGTAGGCAGGGATAATCCTGGAGGGGGCCACCAGGGTCATTGACCCCTAAAAACTTAAATTAACCCCTCCATGTTCCAATTTGCTGAGGCACGGTAGTCTAGCGATAGATCTTACTTAATTATTTTTACATAATGATATGATTCAAACTACATGTACATATATATTTTTTATGAGTCACAAAAAAAAAGGAAATCTGGAATTGTAAAAAATATGGCCTCTGCATGGTCACTCAGATCAGAAATTACCAGAATAAGGTTCATACCTGACATAAATAAACACCTGACAAAAATATAAACAAGAAAATTGTGGTTAGCTCCACAAGAACAAAGGGATGGATAATATATTGATATTGGCGGACATCGACATCGTTCACAGGTGGGCGGTTTATTTAGGACCTGCTTGTTCTCTTAAGAAGAGCCATTCAAAGAAGAGATCGCTTTCCAACAAGTAGCTAGAGGTTGTGTTTGAATTGGAAATGTCACACTCCTACACTATATTCCAAAAAATCCCAAATGAGCATACACAAGCTAGAGTGAACGTTACATACCGGCTTTCTCGTCCATGGTTTTCCTGGTTGTGACAGATTTGTCAAACAGGCGCTTATACAACAAACAAAGCGTTAGCAACAAACGCTTAAATGACCATGTCGTAGCGAATAAAATATTGCGGAAAAGTATATGCTGCCGGTCACGGATGGGAATACATTTATCGTAATTGAATATCTATATTTCTTGACTCGTGAGTACAGTATTACCACGGAATTAGATTAGTTATCTAAGTCCGTGGTATAACACCGCCCAAAGGACCGAAGTGTCAGCGCACGTGACACCCCGGCCATTGACTTACAAAATTAATGTAACATAGGCTACATTCGCGTTACCGGTTGAAACGGTACGTGTGGCGCAGAAATTTTCCACGATAAATGAACACACTTGGACCGTTCTATAAGCAGAGCTAAAAATGCACAGTTTCGGAGAATAAAAAACAATGTATCAAGAATATTATGCCCTTCTCTCACGCGTCCACTAAATTACATAACGTATCTTAAAAACTACATGTGACTTGACATTGTTTTAGAAAGAAATAACGCAAACTAGCAATATTCAGCAGTTTAGTTTCGGCCAGGTTCGTCTGGACCCCTCAATCTACACGTACCAAATTTTCCTGAGGTCAGCCTCGGTCCAAATCTGTACCTGTCGTTTTCTTTACAGGTTCAACCGGTTCAACCGTTTCAACCGGATACGCGAATGTACCCCTAATTATTCGTAACTGTGTCTTAACCGTGTGGCACCCAAATGGGTGGCGGTTCGGGCCAAAAACGATATACAGTAACATTTTTCAAATGTATAAGTAACGCGTTAAAATTCACATATAACGCGTTACAATGGTAAATGCACTGGCCAATCAGAGAAATCGTTTCATAGTTGATGGTTTTGATATTTAAAATAAATAAAAATGTTATAACTATTTATATTGAAAACCCCCAGGCCGTAGGTATTTTTATCAACATCTGATTTTAATGAGATTGCAGATAAAGAAGGTTCATTATATACATTTGCGAGCCGAACAATAAATATCACATTTTACCTCTTTCAAATCAGGAGGCTTTTAGGCAGAGACGTATTTTTATCACATAATGTCTACTGTGTTGTCAAGTGAATATACCCATGTAATATTTTTTTGCGTAACTATGATTAAGGCAAAGCCTTAAAAGAGCGAAGCTTTTGTTGATCTCTGATAGTTACTGTTTTAGAATGAGATAATACTGCTTTCAGAATGAGCTAGATAAAATTGATTTAAAGTCGGCTATAGTCGAGGGATAACAATAAAACATAAACTCTAATGAGACCGACATAACAATAGGGGAGATCGGGTCAAATTCGGCCCATTTTTATCAAAGTCCGTTCTTGGAAGTATGGCAGCACGTCCGTTTTTGAACATTATTTAATTTTCCCTGTCGGATGATCGGATGACCGAACGAGCCCCGCAATGGGATAAGCTCGGCCAGGCATTCGGGTAAGTTCGGTTCCATTGAAATCAGCTTAATTATATGATGTTTTAAAGCATGCTACAACGTCAGATTATACCGCCAATTTTACAACTTTTATGTGTTACATGGGCCGAACTTGCCACGTGGTATCATTGGCCGAAACTGTCCGGGCCCAAATTGATATTTCAATAAATTCTTATCGTACAGCAATATGGTAGTGAGTGTTTGGCTTTGCTTTTATGTATATCATTTGAAGCTGTCAGTGTATTACACGTTTGACCGGCGTTAAACAAAAGCAATTCCGTTTACAGAAAGTTCGTATAACTAGAAACGAGATCATGATTTTCTTTCTGCCCTCTCAAATTAATTTTCTCCTGTTTAGTAATTTTTCGTGTGAATGCACAGCCAACTAAACTGCTAAGATCTTTAAAGTTGTAAATATTAGCTCAAAAACAAAAATATCAAGGATGGCCGAACTTGCCCCGGTCTCCCGTACGTAGATTTGTTTGTATCGTTGATGATTGGTAAAAATGTATTCACAGTGGATAGCGCGCTCGTCTTCACCAAAATGGCCGGATTCAATCCCGGTTACCTGCCCGACCACGCGGGTTTTCTCCGGATATCAAATCCTCTGCGTGCGTCCGTCAGGTCACAAAAAGAATGATTGAAACAAGTGGGAAAAAAACCTGTTTGGTAATGATTGCTATAGAAAACAAGAGGCCCAAGGGCCTTAGCGGTCACCTGAGTTATATCATAGGTACTGGTAACTTTATTTTATTGTTTAGATGTGATGTGGAAATCAGCATGTAAACTAAGTGAAATACAATACTTGTCATGTCATCAAAAGGTAAGAATTTGAAAAAGTTGGTAAATTTTCCCTTTGGGGCCCCGCCCTAGCCCCTGGGGATGTAATACAATACCCTTACTCACCAAAGATGATTCTGACTAAGTTTGAGTAATTTTCTACTGAAAATGGATAAAAATATACCCAAAAGTGTTATTTCCCTATGTAAACTATAGTAAACTTTACCCCCTCCCCAAGGGAGAATGGATCCTGATGGGGTCCGGAAATTTACAATTTAAATAAAGCCGTTGATGATCTTTCTTTCCATGCAGAGAAAATGACTGTAGTGCCTCTGAGTCTGGAGAAGAAGATTTTTGAAATATTGGTTAATTTTCCCTTTGGTGCCCCACCCTGGCCCCAGGGGTTGGAGTAGGAATCTCAATTTTACAATTTGAACCATCTTCCTCCAAGGATAATCCTCACCAAGTAAATATAATTTCCTACAGATAGTTGTCAAAATATATCAAAAAGTGTTATTTCCCTATATAAACAATAGTAAACTTTACCCCCTCCCCAAGAGAGAACAGATAGCTCTGGGGTCCTGAAATTTACAATTTAAATAAAGCCCCTGATGATCTTTCTTTCCATGCAGAGAAAATGACTGTAGTACCTCTGAGTCTGAAGAAGGAAGATTTTTGAAATATTGCTTAATTTTCCTTTTGGGGCCCCGCCCTGGCCCCAGGGGTTTGAGTAGGAATCCCAATTTTACAATTTTGTAGCCTCATCTACCAAGGATGATTCTAACCAAGTTTAAAAAAAATCCAACCACTGGTTCTTGAGAAGAAGTTGAAAATGTAAAAAGTTTACACACGACAACGGATGGAAAGCTATCAGAATAGGTCAATTGAGCAAAGCTCAGGTGTCCTAAAAATTGTAGCATTTGTATGCAAAATGCAAGCTATGCCAATTTTTGCATAACTGGCCAATAATTAATCAAAACATGTTTTTGACAGTATGTGTTGACTGTAACTTGCAATCACAAACATCACACAATTTGGAAGCTTCTTATCATTTTTCTAAAATCTTAATCTACCTTAATTACTTCTATTCAAGCTTTAGCTCCCTCCCTAACACTCTGCCAGAGTAATAGGAAATGCTAACTAGCCAGAACAAATACTCCTGTTACATCTGATTACCTGTTCATCTTTCTTACTGCCATATTAAAATAACAAGAGGCCCATGGGCCTTAACGGTCACCTGATAAATTTA